CCCCCTCCGCGGCTCCGGTCCCCCGCGACCCGCACGGCCAGGCGCCCGCCCCGCGCGCCCTGCGAGGAGCCCCAAAGCCCGCCGCCCCGACCCCCCCCGACACGTGACCCGGGGCCTGGCTCATCACGTGACGCAGGGCCTGCAGCGGGCCGGGGTGGGGGTCCCCGGGGCGCTCCCCGGCTGCCCCGAGGCAAGTGACGCGTGACCGTCGCGACGGAGGCCGCCGCAGGTGGCATCGCAGGGCTCTGAGTTTCGCCAGTCGGCTTCCTCCGGGAAGCCCGCCTGGATTGCAGGAGACAACTTTTAATCCAGATGTGTGTTCACTCAGACGTTCTGGGATATATGAAATAAGTGAGGAACTAATCACTTGGAAACTGTCCGAGGCAGCACTGGCTGGTGAGACCTAGAGTTTCTATCTGGCGCCGCCACTGACTAGCTTCTAGACTTCGGGGGAAGCATTTGATACCTTCGGGCCTCGGTTTCTCGTTTGCAGTCAGGTATTATTGCAGTTCTCCGCCCCACCCCTGACCCTCACTCCACTTCCTTCCCGGAGTGCTGAAAGAATTAAAATAGGTGAATATGAAAGGCTGTGAAAAGAGAGAAATTACTATGCAAATGCGAGTAGTAGATTGACACCTCCTTTGTTTAAAAAAGGGGTTTCCCAGAATCCTTGAACTTTTCAGGATGAAAAAGTGTTCTGGTTTTTTCACCTTTTTTTTTTTTATTTTTTTTTTTTACAGTTATTCCAGAATGTATACTTTGCTTTCCAGCTTCCTATAATAGCTGTTACCAAACACAATGTAATTCTTAGGATATGGAGAAGTAAAGTCAGACTTAGAACTTGAGTCCCTTGTGTTGTGCCATAATGGAGCACAGACCTCAGGAGCTACCATAAGGCCCTTTGTTCCTGCACTGAGCATTCCCCAGGCTTCTGTGCACTTGTAGTTTTAGTGTCTGCTTTTTTCCGTTCCCTTGACTTTCTTGCAGTCAGGATTTCTTAGTGCTGCCAGTCTAGCTGCTTGCTCCCAGGCTGGAAAGTGGAATTATTTTAGAGCAAGGGCTCCCGTGTGGGTTTCATTCATTACTGCCTGTGGCCTTGGAAATAATCTCTTCCATCTCTGGATTGTGGGGTAAAGTACTTAACACAGTGCTTGGCACAGGGCAGGTACTCCACCGGTGTTTGCTGGTAGGGGCTTCTGGTTCCACAGGTCCACAATATTCTGATTGTTAACACTGTATAAAATGTATCAACAGAATCTAAGCTTGGGTGAGAACTTATTACCTAAAGTTCATCAGCTTTTTTATAACAGTTGTTTTTTCTTAACTCAAAAGCTGTTGTCCTTGCTTTTTGCTTGTTTTTTAACTTTTCTAGATTGTGTCCTGGGTGGTTGAAGTTCCCAGCAGCCTAATCTCGGAATGAGTAAAGCCTTGGCGTGTTTTGTTAATTAGCAACGTGAGATTGCAAATTTTGGTGGAGACATGGTACAAGGGAAAAGAGGGACCTCTGTCGACCGGTAGCTGTAGGGACTGTAGCTCTGTGGACTCAGCTGTGCTGAGCTGGAAGAAAGGCAGGATTCGGGGTGGGTTTAGGAAAAGTGGGGGTCAGCTTTATAGTAGCCGCAACCTAGGCTGATGGGAGAAGAGTAGATGGGTAAGAAGAAAAGCAGAACTTCAGCTGAATGCTTTGAATGCTGCCATAAAAATGTATTTGATCAGGGCACCAGGGTGGCTCAGTGGGTTAAGCATCGGATTCTTGATTTCAGCTAGGTTGTGATCTCATGCTTTGTGGGATCAAGCCCTGCGTTGGGCTCTGTGCTGACAATGTGGAGCCTTCTTGGGATTCTCTCTCTCTCTCTCTCTCTCTCTCTCTCTCTCTCTCTCAAAATAAGTAGCTTTTTAAAAAAAGTGTTTGATTATAGAGTAGCACCCACTAGATGCAGCCTGGCAAGGAGCACAGACTAGACTCCAGAGTCCAAGATTGGAGTGATCACCAAAGGTTCCTTGTGTTCCAACTTGTGACTGTAGCCAAGTAATCTCCTCCAGCTGTAAAGTTGGGGAAAACGCTCTGGCTGCTGCCGCTGAAGACATGGGAATTTGAATCTGTTAAGCACCCTCTTTTGAGAAAAGAAACTGAAATCAGAATTGTGTATCTCCCATACAGAATGAAAGAGAAAATTACAAAAAAATCACTTAGACCTAACATGTTTTTGTTTATTCAGGTGCTATGGTGTAAAATGCCTTGGTCTATGTTGTTTTAAATTGCTTTTGAAGTAAAGAAAGAGATTTGGCGAGATGATTAATCGAGATGAAAGGGAGGTGCCAGGTAAGTTTAAAGAGCCAAGTTCTGCCCTTTTTCCAAATGGCAGATTCCTCTGTAGTGATTACCTTCAATGAAATGCAAAAAAGATAAGGACCATCTTAATGTCACATCAGTTTCTTACGGTGCCTGGCCTCACCCACATAAATCATGAACCTTTATATGTATCTGGATGTCAGAGTTCAGAAACCACATTTTAGATCCCATGAAAAGACACATATCCTGAGTAATGGAGTGATCGTTCATAAACTGTTTATTGTTAATTGTCAGACAAAATGGGCCTCAAAATGAATTTATTGCATTCAGAATTATTTTCTGCCACGATCTAAGATTTTGTCTTAGCGTCTCAAGTTACGAATGACCTACTCGTTGCTGAACCCACTGGTCCATTATCTTTTTTTTTTTTTTTTTTTTTTGAGAGAGGGTGCAAGTGAGAGGGGGCAGAGAGAGAATCTCATGAGGGGCAGAGAGGGAAAAGGCACTAACCCAAAGCAGGGCTCGAACTCACGAATCGTGAGATCATGACCCAAGCCAAAGTCTGATGCTTAATGGATTGAGCCACCCAGGTACCCCCACTGGACCATTATCTTATGCGGCCTGTCAGCAGCATAGACACAGCTGATCACTCCCTCCTCCAGGAAATGCTTTCCTTCCATAATTTCCAGGACACCATACTCCCTGGTTTTTCTTCCTACCTCACCAGCTGCTCCTTCTGCATCTTTTGTGGTTCCTTCCTTCTTCCTTAACACAATGCTCAGTCTTTCCAGACCTATCCATTGTAATGGGAGGGACTGCACAGGCTATGAGCCCCAATGCTAGACATTCCTATCTCAGCTTAGCCACTGCTTCCTTTGGAAAACCTTGGATCTCCTCCAGGTCACATTGGCTGTTCTTTCTTCCTGGGGGCCCCACCGAACCCTGTACATGCTCCCCATTTAGCACTGGTCTCACCATTTTGTTCATCTTGTTTGTCTTCCACACGAAACTGTGAGCGGCTTAGCACAGAATTCTGGGATGTAACTTTATTCCAACAGCCTATCAAGTCTTGATCCACTTGTTACTGCTGAGAAGCTTGTTTGACCATTGACCCGTCGAAAGACACCTGGGTTATTTCCAGTTTGGAGCTGCTACAAATAAAGCGGCTATGGACATTGGTGAACAGGTTTTTATTTTTTATTTTATTTTTTAACATTTATTTATGTTTGAGACAGAGAGAGAGCATGAACAGGGGAGGGTCAGAGAAAGAGGGAGACACAGAATCTGAAACAGGCTCCAGGCTCTGAGCTGTCAGCACAGAGCCCGACGCGGGGCTCGAACCCACGGACCACGAGATCATGACCTGAGCCGAAGTCGGATGCTTAACCGACTGAGCCACCCAGGCGCCCCGGTGAACAGGTTTTTAAATGCCTTTGAGTGTTGTTGCTGGGTCATAGGCTAAGCATATATATGGTTCGTTTTATTTCTATTTTATTTTATTTTTTATTTTTAAAAATTTACTTATTTATGTTTAAAGCTTATTTATTTTTGAGAGAGAGAGAGAGAAGGGAGGGAAAGACAGAGAGAGAGAGAGAGAGAGAGAGAGAGAGAGAGAGAGAGAGAGAGAAAGAGACAGAATCCGAAGCAGGCTCCAGGCTTCGAGCTATCAGCACAGAGCCCGATGTGGGGCTCGAACTCACAGACTGTGAGATCATGACCTGAGCCATCCAGGTGACCAATCATAACCTGAGCTCAACCGACTGAGCCACCCAGGTGCCCCTGTATGGTTCGTTTTAGAAGAAACTGCCCAACTCTTTTGCAGAGTGGCTAGACCATTTCTCGTTCCCACAAGCAGTGTGTGAGACATCCAGTTTCCCTGCTTTCTTGTGAATACTTGGTTGGTAAGATTTTTTTCTTTTAGACGTTCTGATAGATGTGTGGTGGTGCCTCATCATGGTTTTAATTTGAGTTTCCTCAACGGTTAACAACTTTGTATATTTTATGTGCATATTTGCCACACTTACACCATCTTTACCTAAGCGTCAGTTCAAGACTTTTGCCCATTTTCTAATTGGATTGTTTGTTTTCTGACTCTTGAATTTAGAGAGTTTATTCTGGATACGAATCCTTTGT